ACCCGACCTTGAGAGCAAGCTCGCGGAAGAGGATTACTACAGGCAGCAAAGCGAGGCGAGGAGGGGGGCACAGGCCCGTAAAAATCGCGCGATTGACGAAGACGAACGGCGAAAATTAGAGGCCGGGGGAAACCCCCCGTTGATTCTCGGCGTAGGAGTCACGGCGGGAACCCACGACAAGGCAGTTATCAGCCAGGCAAGCGGAATGCGGGTAGGGGACTTTCTGCCCCAGCGGTGCTGTTAGCCAACCAACCGGTAAAGAGCGAAAAAAGGCGTGCGAGCGTATGGAATGCGGATGGGTTACATACAAACCTGGCACCGAGTGTAGCAAATGCCCCGGGAGTGTAGTGCACTCGGCCGACGACAAGCTATGTTCGGCATGCCACAGGTCTCCGAACGACGAAGGTTTCACGCACCTCCGCGGGGACCGGCTAGGGCGAGCGGTAACCTTCGTGGTCGCGTGGCCACAAGGAGAGACAATCCTGCCTCCTGCTCTCGTGCGAGACTTCATGCCCGGCTAGGACTGCCTCTGCCAACGCCCAGACTGCTTCCTACATTTTTTCGCCGAGGAAGAAAGGAAGGCAGAGTTTCGCGTTTGCGGAAATTGTAACTACCGGAAATCGGGCAAAAGTAGCGTAAGGTGGTATCCCATAGTGCTGCAGGTGATCATGTCGCGGCGGGGAGTGCAGCAGTGAGCGATGGCGTTTGGTGGTGCGGCCGTTGCTATCAGAACCGGTTGGACGGCATGAAGAGGTACGAGAAACAGCCAGAGCACCCAGCGAACACGGATCGGGGATCGGGGAGGGGGGCGCCGACCCCTCTAGAACCGTTGGACACGGTGCGCGCGAAGGTGGTTGAAGTCCTCTGTTCAGGTGAGATTCTGTACTGGCAGGACGTCGCCGATTGGCTAGCTGCTAAACGCGCAAAGGTTTATATGGAGGAGATATAAGGGAAATACCCAAGAAAGCTCGTCCGGGCCTTGTTCACCAGCATAGCCGCGGCGCCCAGGCGCAATTCACGATTGGTGTGTCACGATGGAGCAAAGGGAGATACACGCGAGCGGGAGCTCTGCCTCCTCCTAAACTCAATTCGGGACGAGTACCTCCTGGACTTCATGCTGCGTGCTGCTCACCGAAACGCACCCGCCCAGTCACCATCCGACCAGCTAGCGGATAAAGCACGAGTCTCTCAAGTCGATCCTGAACCAAGTCGTGAAGGATAAGGAGGGCGCAGACGCAAGGATGTATGTCGTGCGAGAAGCTGGAAGAATTGTTCGAGGCGACGTGGAGAGTGAGCCTTCCCTTAAGAACACCCCCGGGACCAAAGAGAAGCATCGCTACGCCGATGACTTGGCCACGAAAGTGAAGCCCCCGAGAGAAACTCTACTATCGGCGTATCCTCCGGCCTTGGTTGGATTAGACCAAAGCATGACGAAGATGGAGCTGTATCGCGAGATCACCGCATCAGAGACCGAAGATCCTGGAAAGCCCTGGGTGTGGGAGATCGCAGAGCAAGACGGACGGCATCCTACAACCTCGGGCGGTGGGGAGGGCGAGGACGTTGATGGAGAAAAGAGGAACGAGGTCAGTCAAAGAGCAGTCACGATGTCGTCAGAGCCACGATCCGAGGAACAGGCCAAACATATCGACAGCCTTAACCGCGACAGGCGATCTACGGATCGTAGGCTTCTAGTGATGTGTGCGGTGGTGGTGAAGGCCATTTTACGTGGTCGGCACATGGGTTCTCACGACATCAAAGCGACTCAGTGGGCAAAGTCTAAGGGTACGTGTCGCGAGGTGATCAACTTTGTGGCGGAGCACGGTTTGTGGGCGACCACGTCGCAAATTCAGCACCGAGAAGATTTCCACGCGAAGTTCGTAGAGGACTAGGACCTCCTGAGCCGGGACGCTGAGTGCGCTGCTATTCCTTGCGTGTTGCCAATGCCATGGCACTCTTCATCGCCTCTATGAAGCAGAAGGAATCGCACGGAGCGGAACAGAACGACGTATTTGCCGGAACCCCCGGGTCAGCCGCGAGCAACGACGTTTCCTCCGGAGAGGCCGCGGAGTCGAAGAACGTAGATCTGCAGGACCCCGAGTCGGACGAGAACAGCAATGGTTCGGTCGGTGCACTCGACGATTTGATAAATGAAGTTGGATTCGGGTGAATCTGGCTCTAGCGATGGGGAATCTGACGGGTTGAGTGAGAAGAGCGTCGACCCGGCCTGAAGTGACGGAGACACAGATGATGGCGCTGCGGATCTCGTCACCGACGCCTGGACTGGAACTGAGACCTGGCTAGTTCTTCAGGCAGGTGCATGTAACGTCCCTTGAGAGATCTGGCTCGGGGTTGGGGGGGGGCGGGGGGGCGTACTCTTATGTTTTGCATGCCTTAGCGGTTAGACCATTGACCACGCTTCCTCGAGAGGATGGAGCATTGTTCCCACAGGACCGATCACCGATGGCCAATCGTTCCTTTCTACTTTGCCAAAGGTGGCTCAAAAATGTCTTCCCTAGTCTGTCTATCCTAACGATATCCCTTCCCGCTTTTCAACCCACCTCCTATCTATGCCTCTATGCACTAGTACAGCTACCGTCCTTTCCTCTCTATTCCATGCCTCAAACATCTCCCTGTACGTCCCATCTTTTTCCCCAGCTCAGTCACGTACACTTCCCTCTCCTTCTTGTACAGCGGACATTCCGCGACTACATGAACACGGTCTTCGCATTCGAAGCCGCAATCACATTTGAACTCGTCGTCTTCCTCGTCTACCGTCCTATGTCTTCGTCGACGTTCTCGAAGGCCTATGTCCCCGGTCCTGAATTTGACCTTAAGCTTTGTTCCTGCATCCATTGGTCCATGTAGGTAATCCTTGAACCCTATGCCTTTCTTCATTATTCCGTACACTTCTAGACCCTCCTTATCCTTGGATTCTTTCCTCAGATTCTGTTCTTCTCTCTCGGCACAAGCAACAGATATCTTCTCCTTGAACCCCTGTAGACCCTCCGTTTCCAGCGTTTCATCTTCGTCGATGTCGAGCCCCTTCCATACGTCCTCTACAACCTTGACCCATTCCGTGGGTTGTCTACCCCTCTTTTTGTTTGCCCACTTCGCCTCCCATACAATCCTCGGCAACCTCTCCTCTCCCATCCCGCACATGCGATACTGTTATGTTAGCTTGGGGTTGGGGAGGTCATTGTTGGCATTATTGCAAAAAATCACATCTCCACATCCTACCGAAAGATTGCTGTGGTCTGATTTATGTTTACCCCCATGTTTCAATGCCACATTTCGCGCGTCGTTGTTGGTTAAACAGGCCCGTGCTTCACTTGGATGAATCCATCCGTCAAATACGACGACCCGAGGGTTCAAGATGTCAAACGTCGGAAACAGAAGCCGAACGCTTGCAAACCGGCTAGAGCGCGCGTTTTCGCCCGGCCTATTATCGTACCTTGTTGCGCAAGGAGACGGACGGACGTTTTTTTTTTTTTTCTGCCACGTTGGGTGTCCGTTGTTTGTTGGCATGGTATTTTGTTCTTCGCATTTTATCGGCTAACTGTCTGAAACCCATTGGGGTGCTGTGTGCGTTCGGGCCTGTGTCGTTTGTACCTAATGTAAATGTTTGTTGTATCCTTCAGTTCTGACATGATCTTGATAGGTTTGGGCAACTCGGGGGCTCCGGTCTTGTGTGCCGTGCTCGTGTGTAGGCCCATGCTCGCGTTTTCGATACACCAATCAATGCTAGTAGTGTGTATTGATACTCCGAGAAACAATACTCCAATGTGTAGGTTGGTCGGCCGCGTAGATACGAGTCTCACATTTATTGGGGGGAGGTGCTGCGGGTTGCGCCAACAAGTTTGAAGCCTAACTACAAAGTACGGAATTTGACAAATATATCTTGGTTCTTCCCCAGACAGCTATTGGAATAATCTACTGCTGTTAGCCTCTATTGAGTTATTTAAAACTCGAAATGAAGGTCCGCTCCACTTTTTGGTTCAGAAACAGGGGAAGGTAAATTTGGGTGTAATGCCCGGGTGATTTAAATCTCGGGAGGGTGGTAAAACGCGAGACTGTCAAGAACTCGCTACCACCAACGGCACAACCAGCACCACTGCTGCACACGGATGAATCGAGGTCTTCCCAGCCTCCTCCTGCTGGGGTTGCTGAGCGCAACAGCGAAGGGGGTGGCGTCGACGGTAGCATCTCTGCTGATGCTGCAACCTCTCTGCGACCGCATCTGCCACGGGACGCCCAAGCTGCTGTTCCACCGATGGCGACTGCCGCGCCTCGCAGCGAAGGCGCTCACCCTGCTGTACCTCGCTTCGTTGGGTTTCTTGGGGCGGGTGCTGCTGTTGTTGTGTTTCTCCTGTCATCGGGTGATTGGTGGCGTCCATCTGCATACGAAGATTCTCGTAACAGTACGCCATGGTATGCAGACGCACAACACCCTCACCGGCTGTCCGCTGAACGTGCGGCAGCCCGATCAAGTCCCGATAAGATACGGGCTCCAGTGCCGCGTGGGGGGGCCAACACGCGTGATCGATCGGGTATGTTGGAGGAACCAACACCGGGGCTGTTTTCCGGAACAGAAATGTAGCTTCGGAGCTCTCGAGCCCTGAAGCTACATTTTTCCAGAAATGAAGGTTAATTTGGGTTACCTTCCCCTGTGATTTAAAACTGGAATTCAGCTAAAATTTTGGTTCTCCAGCAAATTAAGGTTAATTTTCGAGTTTTAAATAACTCATATAGATAGGCTTGGTTGGGTGAATGTACGCCGGTCGCGCTGCAATTCCGTGTAAAGCGTTATTCTTTGTTCCTCCGCCGTTTTGTTGTTTTTTTCAGTCGTGCAGCACTGCCCATCCTCAATGAATGGTATAAGACAAAAACAATGAAGACTTAGATGACTGTTAATGTCACACACCATTGCCCATCCTTCACTTTTTGGGGGGGAAACGCAGCTGGGATGGAAGGATAATTAAGCACGGAAAGAAGAGCGAAGAATGATGCGGCGGATTTGCGGCTATTTGCACCAGTCTTCAGCTACGCTCAGCTCTGTCCTGTGTCTGAAACCGTACTTAGGCTTCTGCTTTGGGTGCTGCTGTAGCCATGGCCACCACTCTTGCCCTCTGTGTAGTGAGTAGTGCTGTGCTGTACGCACAACTGAAGGATAAACCGCTGGACTCGGTCTTGGAATCACCGCTTGATCAACCTCCATTGGTGTTGGCGAATGCCGTACTCACCCTGGCATGCTCGACGCTGGTTGTCCTGAAGGTAAGAGGCACAGCCGAACATACTCTGCAGCGGCTACTGATCGAGCACATTATGCGCTTTTCTGAAGCTTTTCCCACTATGCATGTAGCTGGTGTCCTCTCAACCTGCACACCTCTGGAAAGGTGCGAATGGCTTGCAATTGTTGGATCTGTCATTGTTCCGTTGACGCCAGCCTGCGGCGTCTCAACGGGGAAAACAACACGCCACTAGCAGCTAGAGCAGCTACTGAGGTGTCCCAGGTTCACCGCCTGTGTCTTTCGTTTTTGGTGTGTTCTGCCCCTCCTTGTCTGGTGGTGTTCCGCACTCGATGTTGATTTTTGATTTTTGAAAATATTGGAGATTCCGATCCGGAACACATGCTTGGGGACACACCCTCAGCTTTGTAATTTTGTCTGGAAGTCCCTCGTCTGTCGTCTCCTGTCCTCCTTGCCGAGGAAGGATTTCGTAGGTGGTTTGTGTGGGACCTATCTATAGTGATCAAATTTAAGATGCATGAATAAACTGTTCAGCAGTGGTCGTGGGGGATAATGCCAGCGGGATTTCCATCGTTGATGCTATGTACACAAACAGCAGGTGCTGTGTAGTACAAGACGCACGCCTTTGCCGCTCCCGCGGCATGTACATCACTTTCCGCGACCAGCCTTCTGCGCCTTTTGCAAGGACAAGTTTCGGGTGCTTGCCCGACAGGATTAAACACACGCTAGACCTCCTTGAACCCTTTCCAGGTGTTGGTCTTGATATTCTGTAGGAAAAATCAGAGGACACAGCAGTATCCGTCCTCTTGGGTGTGTCTTGAAGTTCTTCCAGGGTGGTGGTGGTTCATCGTGTGCATGCGTTGCGCTCATCACTGATTTACCCGACCGCACCACCGATGTATTTTTTACAGCAGTGTCACGCGTGCCCTCATGACTTACTGTTATCCGTACACATGGTAGTATTCACGGAGGTTTCGGTGGCATGTTCCAAGCGAGCAACATGGGAAGCAATGTGGGGCACTATGAGGCACCAAACATACCAACTTTGTTTAGTTTTGTTATTTCAAGTTATCGTAGGAAACAGCGTAATCGCTGTACGAGTGTGGGTTGCGAAGTGAACAAGAATCCCATCTCTGATGCTAGGTGTGGAAGAGGAGAGAGAATGAGGGAGTAGAGGGTGATGACGGCTCGTTAAACAGCAGCACCTTTCTGCCCAGAAGATAGATCGTCCATGCGTATCTTAGCTCGGCCTTTTCCTTTGTGCACGTACTGACAGCTTACGCCCACACCTTGGGGCGATTCGATAACGTGTCATGTGCCATGTGTCACTTCAGGCCACAACTATTTGTACAGACGTAGACAGCAGTGGTGTGAAGACGTTCCTCTACCTATCACTTCGTCGGCGAATATCGAGACATTTCTCAACGCAAATGCGTGTTGTAAACCTTCCTCTCGCCGTCTCCTCCGCGCGTCGCCTGGTCTGGCCTTGCCTTGCTCTCCCCTCTTTCTCCGGGATGGTGTTTGTGGCATCGCAACACCATAACTGCTTTTACACCACGGTAGGTTTTCTGCCGGCTGGTGTACGCCACGGACCCCCTTGAGGTCACTTGGACTTTCATCCGCGGATTTTTCGGACAGGAGAAGGGAAGAGGCATCAAGGTAGACAGCTGGATCACGGAGTACAACCGACTCCACGACGACAACGAATCGAGGTAAGGAGAGGCACTCCAAAAGCGGAGTTCGTTCGCCGGTCACTACCGTATCTGCTGCATGAACAGCAGTCTTTATATATATCCAAGACCATTGCATCCTCACACCAGCGAGCCTTTCACAGCACCCTCAAGTGTTTGTTAACAGCGTCCACGGGGAGCAACTGTTGCGAACCGGAGAGAAGGAGGAAGGGGGATAGTTTCCTTGGATGCTTGATTCGTGAGGAGATTGCTCTTAGGTGGAGGGACTGGTTGTTGCTTTAGTCCACGTTGCCATCGGCTTTGCATGTACTGATATCTGGGGATGACTCAAGGCGAAGTGCCTTGTTATGGTACTTGGACCCTTGGACTAAGATACCATCTGGGTGAGTATAAATTTTAGCAACATCCCGACCATCTGCCCGGATTCTTGGTTACCTGCCTTATGTCGGAGTACAGGAATCTGGGCAGGTGGTCGGGGTATTGCTAAAAGATATACCCGCCCAGATGGTATCTTAGTCCAAGGGTCCAAGTACCATAACAGAAAGATGACGCGCTGGGAGGAATCTGCCTGACGCATTTCGACCACTCTTTACACAGAGAAACGAATAGCCAAGCGCGCAGTGATGCAACAACACCAAGAAGCACGATAGCCTTCCTGATATTGCTGGCATGAGTGTCAGCACCCCGACACTTTGCTTTTGATTTTGCCCTACCCCACCGACTGCCGGTGTATTTCCTGGCACAATTGCTATTTGATGCGAACAACGAAATGACTCAGCGTGGAAGAGAGAGAGGGGAGCTACGCCAAGCTGGTAAACGCGTACTACGAGCTTGCTACTCTGTTCTATGAATGGGGCTGGGGAAGCTCGTTCCACTTTGCGAGCAGGTGGCGCGACGAGAGCTTCCGGGACTCCATCAAGGTGAGGGGCGAGGGGTGTGAAGGGATAGACGAGAGGGTGAGGTGAGGGAGGCGTGACGATGGTCAGACCGTGTCTGCGTCCGCTTGTCTTGGATAGCTTTTGTGTTGCGTTGTGATGAGGGACTCCGCAGTGGCAGCAGCCGTAGAGGCGATAGCAGCCGCCGCTGTGGTTCATGTATCAGTTGCGCACCTTGTAAAGATGATGCCTAGAGAATGGTTGACTGAATCGCTCCTTGTTCCTTGTTTGAATTGTTCTGCCCGTTACGACATGTCCATCAGCCCCTTGTCCAAAGGGTGCCGTGTTTGTTGCAGTGACTCGTTAATGTGGTTGGAATCATAGCCATGGTGAAGGCGGTGGGAGCTCGATGGTGTTTGGGTGTGTGTTTGACGGTCGTTTAATGGCAAGGCCGGCGAATGTACGCGTGCGGTCGCCGGCGTGAAGACTGCTTGGGTTCATAGTGTCTGGCGCAGCCTTCAAACATACAAGTACCGTTTTCGCGCGAGACGTTGGTGCGTCGCCGATGCGTCGCCGATGTCTTTCGTTTTTCGCTCTTTAGAAATCCGTCCACCCACACTACTGCTGTCGTGCATGTTTTACCAGTCTTGTTCCGTCCGACACTAAACATGTAAACATGGATCGTTTTGACCGGTCTGTTCAGCGACACGAGTACTACCTGGGCGGTCGGCTGGGTGTCAGCCGCGGCGCTAAGGTCCTGGACTGCGGCTGCGGCATCGGTGGGCCGTACCGCAACATCGCTCGGTTCACAGGCGCGGACATTACTGGAATTACGATCAACGAGTACCAGGTGCGGGCATCAAGGATATGCATCAAAGAAACGCGCCACACATCACGAAGAATACGCTTATCAAGAATGTATAGGTATTCCATCCGCGACCCATTGTGTACCCGCCTGAACTAGAACACGGTGTTTACACATTGACCTTCGTGGCGCCGCATGGTAACATCTCGAGCTGATAGATGGATGTTGACGAATGCACTCGATCCACTTCATGTTAAGCATCATGCGCCTCGCTCTTGTGAGGTCTTCGCCACGGTACGAATGAGCATAGTCGAAGGGCAGTATCGCCATCCTCCTTCTGCCTGCCACGCTCGTTACACCTGTCCGTGAACGAGCAATTGCGCGTGTGGTTTGACGGGAGCTCTTGTTTTTCCTTGCCTCTCTCCTTGCTTCTGTTTACTTCCCTGCGGGACACGGCAGGTGAAGAGAGGAAACGAGATGAACAAGAAGATGGGCATCGACCAACAGTGCCGATCCATTCAGGTGACTTTCTCTCTTTTCTACTAATTTATCTCTCCTCTTACAGCAGTAGTGCTTATTGGAGCTGAGAGCATGCCGTACCGCAAATTTTGTCCATGTCTGAGGGCCACTGCAATTGCCTTTGGTCCGCATTTCCTTCTTTATGTGTACGGTGTGGTAGGCCGCTGTTGTTTGCGGGTGCGCAAGAGCGTCTGGAAATATGTTTTGAGATACGTGTCAGACTCTACGCATTGCTGTGCCAAAGCCTGGGTGCGTTCGCGAATAGGCACTTGCTTCCCCCCCTCTCGTCTCTTGTCCCCTCCTGGTGTCCAGGGGGATTTCATGAAGTTGCCGTTCGAGGATAACTCTTTCGATGGTGTGTACGCCATCGAAGCCACCTGCCACGCGCCGCAGAGGTACGCACGACGTTTGCTTCACACGACTGATTCCCTGGACACGGCAATTTGCTACTAACAGCGAACTCGTCGGTAGTTTTGCCATGGTTCGGACTCTTTACTCCGTATGATGGATTGGACCAGGCTGGGCACATCCGGTTGTGGTACTGTGCGTGTCTTGCATCCGGGCAACCAAGTCCCAACCCATGTGAATGTGTACAAGAAGATGGAGAGGAGCCGACTTCCGAACTAGCGTGACTGGGTTGTTGGGGTGTCTTCGGGCTGAGTGCCAAACTCTCCCGAATCACCACAGCGTAGACAGTGGATCAAACACGCGGAGGCGAATCGTCCCGTCAGAACCATCACTGATCTAACTTGGCCCGAAATGAATTGGACTGGCGCGACGCAGGGAGGGCGTGTACAGCGAGATCTACCGCGTGCTCAAGCCGGGATGCGTGTTCGCGTGTTACGAGTGGTGCCTCACGGACAAGTTTGACGCCAGTAATGACAAGCACCGGTTGATCAAGAAGCAGATCGAGGTGACGAAGGAAGGCCGACCGGCAGCGGGCCGTTCTGCCTGGATCTTTGCACTGCTTTGTGCTCGGAGCAAGTTCGGTCTCTCTCAAGTTGTGATGTCTGGGCCGCTACTGCTGCAGCATGGCATCGCCCGATGCCATCTCGTGGTAGCGGTGGATGACGTCGTGTACATAGGTCTCTTGGCATCAAACAAGAAGGCCGGGGTGAACATCTGATTTTTCTGACTCAACTGCTGTGTTTTCGTGCGCTCTGTCTTACCTCGCTCCCCCTCCCATTCGATCGATCGTTTGTCACGTGCCTTGGGTAAACATTTTGGTACACTCGGCTGCATGTAAATCCTGTCCCTCGTTTTTATGTATCAGGAGGGGGACGGGCTTCCTGACATGATCACCCCTCCGGAGGTCGACTCAGCCCTCAAGGCGTCGGGCTTCGAGATCCTGGAGACGAGGGACGCCGCGCTCGACCCCAACCCGGGAGGAATCCCGTGGTACCGACCCCTCACGCCTAGCTGGAACGTCTTCACGCAAAGGTTTCAGTTCAACTGGCTAGGGATGCGGCTGACGAAAGCGGCCCTGTACGTGATGGAGATGGTGAGAGCTGATTTATGGGCGTGACTATTCGGCAGACTGGGTGTTGGTGCGGGCCCTTTCCCCCCCTTGAGGAAGTTGGTCGACCTGTGTACCTAAGGAACGACCTTTCTTTCCACATTTGCGGTTGGGTAGGATAGGCGTGACCTAGCCTGCATCCAGAGTGTCCCACAGCAGTGTCGCGTGCATGCTTCTGGCGGGAGACTTTTGAGGTTCTGAACCTGTCCCGTGTCCCCCCCCCGCCCCTCCCGATCCCTCACCCGCTGCCTGTCGAAAGTTTTATCTTGCACCGGCGGGAACGAACAAAGTGCAGGCCATGCTGCAGGCCGGGGGCATGGGCTGCGCGCAGGGCGGCCTCACCGGGACTTTCACACCCATGTACCTTGCGGTCTGTCGCAAACCTCTGTAGGCTTGAACATGTTGGTCTTTGATGCGTACCAGTCTACCTTCATGGTTTTCACGTTGTTTGCTCTCAACACGCGGAGGAGTAGTACGATGCGGGTTGTCAAAATTTGGTTTGTGGAGGAGAACTTGGCGCCGCCCGAACGAAAGAGAAAGCTCTTTCGGCGTGGTAATGCCGCGCAATGCTGCAGATACATTGCTTTTGGGCGGGCGGCCCTTGTTTCATGGTGTCCCATGTCGCAGCCGTGTGGACGAGCAAGTGTCAGCGCCATTTGAGGAGTGAGTGCCGTGCTTGGGCTTTCAGGTGGAACCATATTCACCGCACTGACGACTGCATCACGGAAGGTGCTCGGTGTCGTACAGGTGTCAGGCCTTGGGTAGCCCCGGTCTTGAGTCACAAGCACATTGATTGCAAGTACTCAAGCTAGTGGCTGCGTTTCTTGTGTTTAGTTATTGAAAGCGGCTTCACCACCCGGAGCCAAATCAAGTGATGCACCTGATTGTGTAGCGCACCGTCGGTTGCTCTTTATTCTTCCATTTCTTCCAAGCGCAAGTGGGATTAACCAAGACTAGCGACAACATGCTACAAAATATGCTCGAAGCAGGGTCCCTTACAGGACGGGGGCTGTCATGCTCCGCCCTCTCGCTCACCAGCGTCGCGCTTGATCGTTCACCGCGGGGGGTAGTTGAAGGGTCACAACTGATCCCTCTAGATGGGGAGGGGCAACAAACAAAACGCAGGTTGTGAAAAGTGTACACAAATCGGGGGCAGATTCCGCGCACGAAAAAAACGATCAACCCCGCACCAGGTCCAACCTTGTAGGAATTCTCCCCCCTCCCCCCCCCGCAGACAATCAGACGATCTTCCCCACCAATGCAAGTACTTTGCGTTTCGGAACAAACCGTGTTAAAAGTACAAATTATAGGTACGTTTTGAATGCCGTAGGCACGCACACAGCATAAGCTCTCTCGCCACCCTCAAGCCTTGAAATTAGTATGTGCTCAGCCGCTACATACAGACTACGACAGAGAGAATATCCACAAAATCTTGGACAAAAAAGGAACATGCTCTCCTGAGCACATGCACAAGCACGTAGGCAACGAGTAATATAAGAAGCAGGAGACGGAAACAAAGACTTCAGCACGGTTAAGCTAGCGGGCTGCACCGTCCCCGCTGCCAACTGCTTCAGTGTTGTGTAAAAAGGGGGGGAAGAAGCGAGGACTCGCTTAGAAAGGAAGGATGAGGATACTAGATGAACGGGGTTCTCGGCATTTTAATTAGAACATAGCTCGGGAAATGTAAAACAGAAGCCTCCAAAAATAAACCACTGCTGCTGTTTGCGAGATCTGCCCCCCCCTCCTCACCCGTAACTGGCCATATACAACATTCACAAGATCGATACAGCAGCCCTTCCATGTCTACGACTTCTGTTTTCTACCAACACGCTGCCAACGCCGCGGCAACTAGCAGATGGATACATGCTCCCCGAACCCTACTTGAGCTGCAAAATTCAATCTCACGCATACATGAAGCTGTGATGACGCAAACCTAATTAGAACAGGACGCAGCAGTGCATGGGCCGCTGCCTCTCTTGTGTCTCCTCTCGTGCGACGGGCTGGCCGTTTGACTTAAAAACAATCTTGATTGAGGCACTGTAGTTGAAACGTGAGGGGTGGGGCAAGGCCCAAGGAAAATACGAGTACACGAGAAACGCCTTGACTTGACTGCAAGCAAAACGAAACTAAAACCATCCACAACTGTAGGACATTTGACAATATCACAAAACAAATCCAGCCTGTAGTTGAGACAGCAGCATCGGCGTTATATTCAAACAACCATCAAGACGAATATCCAAAGATCGACGAAGACAAGGAAGAACCATCAACCACTCTATCTCGTCTCGAGAACCAATTCCAACGAAGCTCAACAAGAGGCAGCATTCACTCTCCCTGAACAGCAATCGAAAAACGATCCAAAATACCAATTGAAGTGGATCACGGGGTAAAACTTGGGAACATTGGGACATAACCCAACACACAACACGACGGGATATGCTTTAAAATGAAGAGCCTGCCAACCCCACGGTAACGTATGCATACTACCAACAAGACGGACGAAACAAGAACAGTTGCGATAAAAACCAACGACACCCTCCTACCCAGCGCCAAGATGGCGGAAATGCGACACGTGTACACCACAAAAACCAGAGAAGGAGGGACACTCCAGCCGACGCGCCACTCTAGAAAACACCACAGACACGAATCAATGTCCGCGACGGGAAAGAGGAGCGGCTCTAGACGAGCGGGTGCTCGAAATCAACGGGCCGACAGGATCGGCACAGCACAGGGCGCAGAATTTCTTCTGCTGCGGTTGTCCCGATTTTTCGCCCGTTCTTCTCAAAGCCCAAGGGCCAAAGCCGTCCACTCATTCCCGTGTTTGCGGGAACGAAAACTCGTAAGCGCCCCCGTCACCCATCCCTTGGCCGCGGACGTGCACCCCTCTGCGCATCTCCAGGTGCGGATCGCCAACAGCCGTGGCGCGGGCTGCCGAGCCGCTCACCGCTGCAGACCCGCCGGTTGCCTCCTGGTCTGGGAACGACCTGAGGCTGTTTCTTGACACGCCTGCTCCCAGCACGCGAGAAGGGTCGTCGTCGGCGACATTGTCATGTGCACGGCCACCCCAGACTCCTGGGCTGCTCGCGGACACTCCTCCCGCACGGATCGTAGCACTTCCAGTGCTGCTCACGACGTCCGTGCCTGGGGTCTCTGGGTCTAAGACTTGCACGCCGCGGAGCCCCCGAGGCTTCCCGTCGCCGTCGCTGTTTTCGCTTCCAGACGAGTCGAATACGCTGCTCTGCCCGGGTTCCCAGGTTCGCCGGGTTTCTGCCGGTTCGATGATGCCTGCGCCACCACCAGCGCTGCTGCCTGCCGTGGGTGTCACAGAAAGCAACAAGTTTCTCCTTAAAAAGGAAAACCAAGCGCTCGGCCGGTAGTAAACACGAGCAGACGAAACTCACCATGGTTGCATATGGAATCACTAGCTGGCTGCCCACGCTGACGACCAAGTTTCAAGTTCCAATCGGACAAACGGGACAACCTCACATCATCACACCGTTTGCAAGAAGAACAAGAGCGTGCCATGCGGTTGAGCAAGACTCGAGACACGTGAAAAAAGTGATGCGAAGGTTGGGCAGAGTGTCGTACGCGAAAGAAAGCCTTTACACCAACTCTTGTCACACAGAATTACAAGTGGTGGGGGGGGGGGAGCGAGGGAAAAACGCAGTTAATTTACCTGAGGTTTGACGACGCTTACCGTTGCTTGCACCCTTACTAGTGTGTCGGCCAGAACTGTCCCGCTGACCGCCAGCGCCGCCAGCTGCCTTGCTCCGTTGACCACGGGTGTCACTGCCTGCAGTGCCCCGTCCACCGCCACCACTGCTCCGTTCGTGGCCAGCTGCAGCATTCGCATGGTCGCGGACCCTGCCGACGACAGCCCCGTTGCCCGGGGCCTTCACCCGCCCCATGCTGCTGCTGCCTTTGACCGCGCGGGGTTCGCTCCGCGAGCGCCTTCGTGTCGCAGAAACGGCTTTGTTCGAACCGTAGTAGCCGACATCATCGTGATCCACTACCACGCCGGGCTGCCCCCTTGCGTTGCGCATGCCTGTGGGCGTCGATTGCCCACGGCCGGAGGCACGGTGGTAGCCGACAACATCATCGTGATCCATTACCACGCCTGGCCGGCCCCTTGTGTTGCGAACACCTGCGGGGGTCGATTGCCCACGACCAGAGGCACTGTGGTAACCCATAATATCATCGTAGTTCATTCCCACGCTGGGCTGGCCCCTTCCTCGCATGCCTGTTGGCGTCGATTGCCCACGACCAGAGGCAAAGTGGTAGCCCATCATATCATCGTGATTAATTCCCGCGACCGGCTGGCCGCCTGCGCTGCGCATGCCTGCGGGAATCGATTGCCCACCGCCGGAGGCAAAGTGGTAGCCCATAATATCATCGTGATTCATTCCCACGACCGGCTGGCCCCTTGCGCTGCGCATGCCTGCGGGAATCGACTGCCCACCGCCGGAGGCTAAGTGGTAGTCCATAAAATCATCGTGATCGATTCCCATACCGGGTTGGCCCCTTGCGCTGCGCATGCCTGCGGGAGTCGACCGCCCACCGCCGGAGGCAAAGTGGTAGCCGAAAACATCGTCTTGGTCGATTCCCAAGCCGGGTTGGCCCCTTGCGCTGCGCATGCCTGCGGGAGTCGACCGCCCACCGCCGGAGGCAAAGTGGTAGCCGAAAACATCGTCTTGGTCGATTCCCAAGCCGGGTTGGCCCCTTGCGCTGCGCATGCCTGCGGGAGTCGACCGCCCACCGCCGGAGGCAAAGTGGTAGCCGAAAACATCGTCTTGGTCGATTCCCAAGCCGGGTTGGCCCCTTGCGCTGCGCATGCCTGCGGGAATCGACTGGCCACCGCCGGAGGCAACGTGGTAGCCGATAACATCGTCTTCGTCGATTCCCAAGCCGGGTTGGCCCCTTCCGTTGCGCATGCCTGCGGGCATCGGCTGCCCACGGACGACGTGGCCGCTGGCATAACGGTCGCCGCCTCTTGAATAGACCACACCAGCTCTGGAATTCAAGCGCGTGTTTGACGTCGCGGGGGATGGGCACGCGATGTCGTCCTGGCTCTCGCCCATAGAGTTCCCCCAGGCGGCACGGATACCCGCGAGCGTGCCTCCTCCCAATGGTCGTCGCCGGCCGGCTGCAATGCCGGGCATGAGCGAACGTGAGTCGACGAATTCGTTCTCGCTCTCGCTCTCATCATCCAGAATGTGGGCCCGGACGCCGTTGACACCCACCCTGGGGTTATGGATTACGTTCATCTTGTCGGTTGAGGTATACGGGATGTCCTCCTGGCTGCCGTCCAGCGATGAGCCCCACGCGGCGCGGATCCCTGCAAGCGTGCCCGCGGACAGTGATCGCCGGCGGTTGCCTTGAACCCCGGGTGCGAACAAACGCGGGTCAACCTCTTCCATCTCGCTCTCGTTTTCCTCGTCTTCCTCGATGATGCCCGTGGCATAGACAGCGCCCAACCTCGAGTTTCGCGTTGAGGTTTTGGTTTCCGGTAGGCGACAGGCGATATCGTCCTGGCTCCCCCCAATTGACGTGCCCCAGGCAGCACGGATCCCGGCTAGCGTGCCTGTCGACGGAGGCCGCCGGCGGTTTCCTACATCTGCAAACCCCGATCCGATTGCGTCGCGTTGACTTCTGATACTGGTGGCTCCTACCCTCGCGTTCAACTTTGTGTTGATCGCTGCCTGCGAATCAAACTCCTCGCTGTCCATGGAACTGTTGCCCCATGAGAGGCGTCGGTTTTGCTCAGCTGCACGGGCCGCGGCGTCGGGTTTTGACACTGGTGCATCAAACTCGCTCGTGGACGGTTGCGGACACGCCCAGCTGTACCGCCTTACCTCACCGTCCGCGGGCGCACCCATAGCAGCGGTCGCAGTAGGAGCAGCAGCGGTCGCAGCAGGAGTAGCAGCGGTCGCCGTAGGAGCAGCAGCGGTCGCAGCAGGAGTAGCAGCGGTCGCAGCAGGAGTAGCAGCGGTCGCAGCAGGAGTAGCAGCGGTCGCGGAAGAAGCAGTAGCGGTCGTAGCCGAAGCGGCAGCGGTCGCAGCAGGAGCAGCGGCAGGAGCAGCAGCAGTCGCAGCAGGAGAAGCACCGGTCGCAGCAGGAGCAGCAGTGGTAAAAGCAGGAGCAGCGGTAGCAGCACGAGCAGCTGCAGCGGCAGGAGCAGCAGCAAGAGCTGTGTTCCTCGCTCTAAATGCTGGAGGAGGCGACTCCGCGAAGCTCGAGTCCGGAGGACAGCTGGAGGAATTGCCGCGGATGCCATGAGGGTTGAGCTTGCGGTTCAAAGACTCCATGACGAACATTTCCGTGCTATCATCGCTTTCAGACGTCGCTTTTCTGAGCCCCCAAGCCTTTCGAATCTCCGCTTTCTTGCTGGTTGTGGGCTTGGCTCCGTCCAAAGTTATTCCTTCCACGCTGTCCTTGGCGGACAGAAACCGCGCAAAGCCTGTACGGCGAGCGCCCTTGATGGCCACGCCATGCGCATCATCGCCAACGGCGCTCGACGGCCCCGTGCTTGAGCTTCTCCCTCGGCTGTTCATTCTTTTCAAGCTCGCTCTCAACCCAGAACCAAGCGCGCTCGAGGTCTTCCTGTTTCTTCCTTGTGTGGCCATTGCTGCCGTCTCGGAAACGTCCTGTCGAGAACCCGAACCGGAATCCGAAGGGCTCCTGCTTCGAGCCCTGGGTCTGCCGGCCGCACTCCCGTCCTTGCCACTGGTATTCCCGCCCGCTCCGCTGCCAGCCATGCCAGCTGCGCTGCTCTGCCTGGACCCAGTAGCGTGCGCAGAGTTAGACCAGCAGATGTCACCGCCCCCGATGCCGCCGCCGCCGACGCCCGCGACGCCCGCAAACCCGCTAGATATCGACGCAGACTTCGACCCATGGCGGCGGTGCCCAAGTCCGTCGGCCGCGGGTCCGCTTGCGCTGGAATCTCCCACGACAGACATCCCCGCACCGAAAAAGGATCCCGATGTGGAGACGTCCATGCCACCCGGAGAGGGGGTGCCGTCTTCGGCAGTGACATGGCTGCCGGTTTTGGCCGGACTCTTGGGACCCAGGCCCTTTTGGCCGATGCCTCCGCCGTTTCGATCGCCCCCGCTGTGGCGGTCAGTGCTGAACTCTGGAGGGCAGCCGTTGATCGGGGCCAATTCTGCAACGCTTCCCCGGAGACTGTTAGGAAGCATAATAATATTTGACAACAATAAAAAACACGAGACAGCCGAGGCAAGGGATGGGGAGCACGTGTCGTTCGGGCGAGGCAGGTGATCCCAGGTGATCCAAGCCCCCTGCTCGTCGAAGCGAGGTCAAAACAGGCGAGACTCGCAGCAAGGTGTACGCGATCAAGGCACCGGAGTTCGAGCTCATGGCTTCAAAGATTATTGCGTACAGCGTGTGGCTTACACCGAAAACCCCAAAATCCATTAGAATAGACGACCGATCGTTCCCCGCTGAGTCCTGCCGGGTATTCTTACCTGAGAGGCCTGGAACCCACATCCCCAAGGAGGTAAGTCTGCCTCGACCTCTCCAGCTTTGCGGGGACAACAACGAGCAGTAGCTGTTCACGAATGAAGACAAAAGCCGGCACACGTAAATAGTCGGCAAGAAACGAGAGCGAGAGGGAGAGAGACAAGCAGGGGAAATGAACATAGAGTACAAGCAGTGCACCGTATTCGAAGCGGCCAAGTTGGCCCGCCTCGTATGTACGCGCTTCACGAGTCGCCCACCTCGTTTGCTTCTACTCTCACGTCTCCGTGAGCTGGCTCTCACCAACCGACCGCATTCAACGCTGCTTTGCTTGCCCCCTCACATTCAGACCGGGACCCCTCTGCGTACTCGACTGGCCCCGCACGTTCCCACTGCGAACGTCTCTTAAGAAATTGCATCATTCCAGTTCGCCACTGAAAGGCGGAAGAGTGTTTCAGGCAAAACAAAGGTGATGCAAAAGGGCGTCGTTCACCTTCCGATCTTGCTATTACACTACTAGCACAAGGCCGCAAACGCTGCACACACACCACAGAACACACCTTGAGCAGGTAAGCAGCCGACGGAATTCCGATCACGATCGGTAAGAAGATGAGCGAAGAGGAAATCATCATCTGCGGATATGCGAACGCGCAAGCGAGGAAAGACAGGAACGGCGAAAGACTTGTGGGGGGGGGATTGCGAAAACGACAAAGAGGGCCGCATGGAATCAGCGAACGGGTGGGCCGGCTAGCACGCGCACGACCAATACGTCAACAAAGCAGAACAACGAAACAGCGCGTAGAATGCCAACCTGATGTGCATACGTGCGACACACCAGGACCCAGTGTAACACAGGCGTGTCAGTTTTTGCGTGACCAACGTGCTTTGGCGAGGTGATGACGCAAACAGGGCAATCGCGACCTTGTCAAGAGGCACAAACTTGCACTCATCCCCAATTGACAACTTTTATAATACCCATTCGCTCGCTCATTCGCATCTGCCTCCCTCCTTCCTTACCACAACTCCCAATGCGCAGGAGGTGGCCATGGTGGTGAAAAGGATGCACAGCTTCCTCCGGCGCATAGATGCTGCGCGTGGCTTGCTCACACCACTGTCGAACGACCCCACATCACGAGTGCCCCATTCCGTGCTATCAAAATAGATGTATTTTCGATGCGGTTTCGTGCGACCACGCGCCCCGTCGTGTTCCAAGGACAAAAATCATCCGCGCCGGGAAACCATGAGTACGAGGGGCAGTTGCGAGGAAGCAGACCAGGGGTTAGGATGCGCGTCCAGGAAACCGGCATTTGTCGTGTGAGCCTCCAAACAACGAAAAACTATGGTAAACAAAATCCTGGCACCAAAACCGAACAATGCTCGTCATGCCTGATATCTCAGCACTCCATGACAGCCACTTCCCGGGCCAGGGTGAAACCGAATCCCTACGACTCAAATCCTTCGTCGTGCAAAAAATCCTTGGTCGTGCACATTTGGCGTGCAACTAATTCCACAAGCCACGCCCCACCGCCCAACTGTGTCTGTTCCAAACCACAAAACCGGGTTTGAACCACGACTTACCTATCGAGGGTGGCCAAGGCGTAGAGAAAAACCAACACGGAGTTAACGGTGGTAAGCAAAACGAAAGGCACGGCTGCGACGCAGAGGTAGCGCCACGTCGCTATCGTGCCCCTCGCAGTGTTTAACCCCGCCAGCACCGGTGGGATTATCACTAACATGACGGGAATTAACGGCGAGACCGCAAAACCCGAGCCAACCAGAGTCCCGCCGCAGAGCAGCATCCACAGCACTGATGTGACGTTGATCCACATCCACAGTTGACTTGAACAAGTCGTCGTCCAGTCGATCCCAATATTTTCACACCACGCGCAAAGAAAAAAAAAACGCGGGAGAAGCGAGTTGATTTTCAAAATGCTGTTGCGTTGGATCGCATATTTTTATGCATCGGTTTCAACGTCACTCACTGGCGCCGCGTCCTGCTTGTTCAGCGTGGATGCGCCTTTGGGGAGACACAAATCGCAACAGAAGGTAGATAATGCCGGGTGCTGATTCCTAGAACGAGAACCTTAGAATTGGTAGAACGCGACCCGCTGGTTACCGGCGGTGTCGTTGAAAACACCAGACCACATCGATTTCTCTGGTGCTGTCTGTCTACTCTTGGTCATTTCATGTCTACTCTTGGTCATTTCATGTCTTTCTATTTCCAACGCTGTCTCACTCCTGTGACCGGGTGAGGTAGAAGCCGACGTTCAACAGAAAGAAGCCCCAAACCAGCGCGAAAACGATCCAGTCCAGGTTTGTGTGTTGATCGATGCCGTCGTCGGCTGATTCCTCCTGCCACTCACTCCACTCGTCATTCCAATCATCATCAGACTCGCCTCGACTGTCAACCAGCGACAGGAAAGAATGTGGCACAGCAGTACGAGGAGCAAAGGATCCAGGGAGACAAGGCACAGGCGCGCAGTTAACCAAGTAGACTTTCAGTGTTTGATCGTATCCGTGGAGACGTTTCAAGACGCTCAGCGGTCCAGTGCAATGACGCATACGAGGGACCTGCAGGCGACCACTTTCGCTACCATACCACCTGCAAGTATTTTTCGAAGTACTTGTATTATGAAAGTATTGATATTGGCACATGAAGCCGCTCAAAACCAGCAAGGTTTTTCAAAAACGAACCTTTCGTCGTATAACACGAGTTGATGCAGGCCCTTTGCGAGTAACACGGGCATCAAAGCCAGGCCGCTGTGGAGAAACAGGTTGGCCACGAAGGCATACGAGGAGATGCT